GGAATATAATTTCTTTAAATGTGTTTGTAGTACGTATATATATATATATATATATATATATATATATATTCGCAGTACAGTTGCGCAAAATGGTATATTAAGGGATGGTGTCGTGATTTGTAAGGACGCCGTCGATATGAAAATCAGGCTCGGAAACGATGTTTGCGAACCTGGATTTCACTGGTAATGTTCGTCGGGATGTCCGTCCTTGAGATTGTTCCGGAGTCCCCGAGACCGTTTTTTCACGCGTGTTTACTCTGAGAAGGTTAGAGCTGCTTATTAGGTCTTACCCATCGGAACGCTCCACGGCGTGAAACCGTAAGATTGCCTCGTTTTTACTAGCCTTTCCGTTGATCTGAATTTCTGGGCGTGTGGCTTGTGAATCACATCCCTCGAACTTACCACACTACTGGATCAGTTGGCTGGAATGATTGGCGGGGTTGTAAAGTGCGTTCGATGTGTTGTATTCTGCTGAAGGACATCAGGAATTCCCTTCATTTTGATTCAGAACCCCAACGTATCGTTCCGGTGTGCTGTTGATAAGTGACTGAAGGTGAGATTGACTCGGGTTATTCCGCGCTCATCCTCAGGGGTCCTTCAACTCCGTCGTGAATTCACACGTTTTAGCTTTCATGTATACTTATTAGGTGAAGACATCACAAATATATATATATATATATATATATATATATATATAATTAACCTACATCCTCTCGCGTACATTGTTTTATCTACAGATATCGAGTGGTTCCGTTGTGTTCCATCGTGAGTTCTGAATTTATTCGTCATTCAGAATAATCAACTAATCCACGCCTGTCTGCGGAAGCGCGTTCTCAAGTCAAGTATTGAGGTGTTAGACACTATCGGTTGGGTTCTTCTCCAGGACAGAGACTCATGAATCGTAGGGTATGTGGTTGAAGATACCAGTGGAGATGACGGTTAACTGGGCTCACTGATGTTAATGTTTCTGTTTGTCCGAGTTGTCTGCAAAGTATTTCCGACTGTTGGCGCGCGACAATGAATGTCGCAGGGAAGATATCTCTCCGTAGATGCCCTGCTTTCCTATACGGTTAGGCAGTTTGCTTGCAAAGTCTAAGAGCCACTCTTGCTTCCTAGTGAAGGCTTGTTCTCGTGATTGTATGGCAGGTCATCATGTATGTGTGCTAATAATGTATTGTTTATGCTGACGGCTGCTGGCCTGTCGTGGGCCTGCCTGTCATTTCACACCTCATCTTTTGGAAAGGCATGCCACCTTTATTACATTAGAGCTGTTCACGCCGCGTCTGTTCACATTCTCAGTGTCATTTCCTCAAAACGTGAGTCCCTATTTACGCTGCGTGTGCTGTCGTCACGTGGTCTTTTGACTGCGCATTTGATTTGCCTATCATGTATTGGAAATGTACGCAATACACACTTGTGTGGTCGTCCTACGGAATTGCCGCAACAGTTTTCCCTATTAATTACTTCAGAATAGCTTAACGCCAAATAACTTCTCAGTCGGTTAGGCACGAAGATTGTACACTTTGCCGTTTAACGCAGTGGGTTTATCCGCGGCAGGGTTTATGTGGATAGTGGAGAGTCGAGTAGCACTGAAGGACACTCTAGGCCAACTCGCATCAATCACCTGCCGCGTGCGCTAACAAATTTCATGTACTGTATGCTTTAACCACCTAAAAGTGGCTTGACAGCCGTGAATTTTATACAATGGGAATGAATAGAACGCTTGGTTATGGGGACCTAGTAATTACGATCCTTGCTAAATTTCCTGTGGTCTCTGCCGAGGCAATCCCTTACGCGTGGTGGTTTAATTAGTTTTCCGTCGGAATTCTGCCGATACGTGGTTGATGCATGAGACGACGTATGAGAATAGTTACAATAATCTCTTCGTCAGAGTGGCTTTTTTAAGCCTCACTTTTGTCACTAGCTGGTGACTTCATGTAGGTTAATCTGAACAATATTAGAAAATGCCTGTTCGCTTCGACTGTACGAAATGTTATGTTTAGTCATAGCCAACAGCTTTAGCACCATTTATCTTTACTGCGTGCCAAAGGACATTCCTTGTTGACATCATCACTTTTTGTTTGTGGCGTGCAGTCTTGTTCTTTCAGACCTCTATCCACAGATAGATTGTCGATTTATTGTATTTGTCAATACGGGTCACGGGTAGCTGGTAAACATTCGATGGCGACTGGTTGGCATCAACCATTTTACGGTAGTTGGTTAGTACCAGCAGTCCTGTGATGTTTATTGTGTACTAGCAACATGGCAATGTCAAAAACGTTGTCAAACTCCGACGTTTCGGGTTTGTCGTTCTTTTAGGTGCGGCAGTTACTGTTTCGTTTCACATCTTTTGTGCTGAGTTGTGGCTTATTTGGCCCAACGTCTCGTTCGTATCAGGATGTTGAATCCATGGCAAACTATTTACAAGCCAATGAGAGAGGAACAATCCGACCAATCAGCCTAAAAGTTAGCCGTGGTTTCTGGAAAAGGGAGCTTAGCATGCTAATCAAAGCAACTAACATTCAGCTCATGTTTTCTTACTATTATGAAGGCGTTCAGCGATCTTGCTGTTTGAGAAACACTTGAAAGGACGTGTCACATCGTTATAGATAACAAATGAATGCTGGCAAAAATAACACCATTTTAGAGACAGTTTGGTGTAGCTTGAAAATTTCGGGAATCTCCTGATAGGTGGTTTTTCGTATGTTTCTGGAAAACTGACACTGTTTTCTGATCGAATACTTTGGTTTGATTAAAGACCGGTTGGTCAACTGGCTGCAGTCTAGTGTAGTTAGGCCACATTGATCTGCTTCACTCAAGTTGCTTTTCTAAAACGTTACCGGTAGGTGTTGGTAATCCTGACAGCGTTTGTCTTTTGGTTTACTTCTTCCAATCCCACACTTAGTCGCGCTTGCTATTAGGATAAGAATAGCTGGTGTCTTCTGCCCATCGAAGTTGTCTGATGTGCAGTTAGCCACATATGTTCTTTGTTCCTGTTGGTGAGTCGTCAGTTGCCCGATCGTTTGAACGGTTTGACTTAGGCGTTCTGCGCTAATGTAAAATCATTATTGGCGTGAAACATGCTGAATAACGTTGTTGAATACTTGCGATCGCCATTATTTTTTTACTCGTCTTTTTCGCATTTAAACTTATTTGTTATCTAAGCGGCATGTGTGCAAAGCATCATGTTTGCGTTTAGAGAACAAAAGCTTTAACCCTACAGCCACATCCTGCTTGACGGCTTTGTTGTTTGATGTGGTAGCAAAAAATGACAATTCCGATATAATTACCATTTGGCCGCCCTTGACGGTTGCTTAGCTCTTCAAAAGGTTTTAAGGCATTCTCCAACATCCTTATTCGGCGGCTTTCGATCGTTCATTTCCATGCGAAGAGTAATTCTAAGGTTTTCTATACTTCTTGCGGTTGATTAACCTATTCACCTTCACAGTGGTCGTCTGTGAATTTGCAGTTTTGTATTTCCCATCATGGCGCTGCTAGTATTGACAGAGGAAATTTACTCGCTTTCAGCAACCTCAATCTGATACGATCGATTTGTCGTTTGCACGGCGATCCCGTCGATCGATATTTCTTGATGGTCAATAGTGCTGTCCTTGGAAGTCACATCATCCAAGGTGGAGCCGGACCATATGGAGGATTGAGCTGGGTCAGTGCGTTGCACGTGCACCTAACACTACAACGTTATTACTGGCGCCTCCGGTAAGTGGGTGCTCACCCATAATATCTCTTCGGTTTCGGCCTACCCATGAGTAGACAAGTTTATCCCAGATATGTTCTTCAGGCACGTGCTGTCGTCGACGAAATCCTTGCAGCATCTGTAAACTTCTGTTGAGCACAGCGTTTGGAACCTAAATAATCTCTGTATTGATAATCTATTTAAAGCATCACATCCCTTGGATTGCGAACTTACTCAACCGTCTTCTTCCTATCCAGTTTACCGTTACTTAGAAGGGCACACAGCTTGTTTGGCAGATTTATGATTGTAGGTGAGACCCAATTGTGAAAAGTCACGGCTTCGGCTGGATTCGAACCAGCGGCAGAAACACCATGCCTCAACGCAGCAAGCACTCCACCAGCTGAGCTACGCAGCCACGTCAGGAGCTCGGAAATTTCACATTTTGCCCCACTGTCCCATGGAATCCATCGAATGATCCGAGGGATCGACTGCCCCGGCAAGCTGGGTGTGTAACCGAGTCCAAATGTGAAATTTCCCAGCCCCTGGTGTGGCTTCGTAGCTTGTTAGTAGTCAGTATTTCATCATCTTTGATTAAATTTCACTTGATGATCTAATGTGGTCGGTGGTATGTGAGCCGCATTTATCGTGAAGAGCTGTCAATCGGGATCGAAGCCATAGCGCTAAACGCGTAAGTATTTTACCTAAAAAGGCATACCTTGCGTGCAATGAATAGCCATAACTTTTGGTTGGTTTTTGTTGTTGTTGGAATCGATCACAGTAGAGCATCCAGCGGAGTGAACACTTATTTGTCGAACTTCGTGAGAAAAAACTGTCTTAATTGTGGTTTTATCGCGTCCAACGCAATCGGTAACAAGATATAAGTTACTATGGTCATTTAGAAAGTAAACTGTGAAACTGGTCATGGCTGATTTCTTTTTTTCTGTTAACGGACGTGTTTTGCCTAAGTGTTAGGCGGGCCACCATTGGTAATGTACTGAGAAGCTGTCCGTCAGCTTCATAAATCGTCGCGTGACCATGTCGGCCAAGGGAAGCCGTAAACATGTCTATATTGACCATTGATAGTTTCTCGAAACAGTTGTTTCTTGAGAAATCGTTGGTTTGATCTGGTTTCCTCTGTGACGTTCGAGACGCGCATCTATTCACGCTTTCAATCCTAGTTATGATAGCGAAGACGTAAACCAACCAAGAAAAGCTAAGACAATGCAAGAATTGGTATCAATCCAACAAATGCAGGGGAGAATCTCCAGCAGGTGACGAACATCTGTTGTGCTACGTGGAAAAATCCGCCGAGAAGGCGGAATCGAACCGCTCCGGCGTCAACCGGCTACAGGTTTGAAGCCTGCACCCCGGACCACCGAGGTTCATCCCGGCGATAGGGGCGGTTGAAGCAACACATTTAGACTCATTTGTGCTTACTTCCTTGACATTAGATTCATTTGCAAGTTAGATTTTTATTTTGGAAAAATTATTAATCAGTGCAACCGAAAATTCCCTTTTTTATGTAACTTACAAGTTCATCTCTTTTAAAGGTGTTTGATTGCTTGCGTTTATTACTTTTTATTAATTTTGATTGTTGTTAGTATATAAGTAGTATGCTGTAGCTGTTGATAATCTGGTGCGTAGGAATCTGCTCGTTTTTTTAATGTGCAGATACTTTTTGTGTTTCTGAAAAGCCTCACTATGTAAGTTGTCACCTTGCATAAAGGCGTTGAACATAATTCCTTTATTCACATTGTTATTTCGGAACAATCGACAAAATCTGAACTTCCTGGCTTCGCACTGCTTAGCTTATTCCCTTAAAAATTCTTAGATGGTGTGTCTGAGTGTCTAGTTTTGCTGAAGGCCATAAGCTTTGGGGGTATAAATGTGAAATAGACTGATTATTTATCTTTTTCCTAATTTTCGTCTACCAGAATTGAAGCTGCCATATCTTGGGTTCGTCTTCTGGTTTATCGAATTCTGAGGCTTGTTGGACGTGCGCCAGACATCCAAGAAATACAAGCTATTATCGCTGCTTCGGTCACAAACTCTGGTTCGCCTACACCTTTGCCTGAGGCTTAGAGTGCCAGTGCCCCTTTCTGTATTATAGTTCAAGCTCCAAGTCTGAGTGTCGGTGACTTTTTTGGCCCTTACTTTCAACAGATAACATTTTTGTTACATCCTTTAGTCTTTTTTCAAAGGGTCTAGGTATTCTTACCGATCATTTTCCTAGGAAGTGCATGATGCAACATTTTGTTTTCAGACTTTACTTCGAATGCCTTTATTTTCACCGTGTTCGGTCGGATATTTGTGTTTCGTTTGGTATTTTCTTTCATTATGAGTAAGTCGTGAACTGTGGAATTTTCGACTTCAATTGGTTTCTTTTCAGCCTGTAAAGTTTACAAACTGGAAGATTCGTTCTCCACACGAACGTCAGTCTTGACGTAATTTGATGTTCTCTTGGTTTAATGTTTCAGTTTGAACATCACTGACGTCTGATCGCAGCTTTCGCTTTCAGATAGACTTTCCAGCCAGCCTGTTTCGAAAAAAACCCTAGACTCGAGTTTCGCTCTTGTTAGAGCTCGTCAGTAATGCATATGCTTGCCACAGGTGGGGTGAGTAATCCGACCACGCTTTCATGTAACAACCGTGTTGACCACTGCGCCATTAACCTCACACTAGGCAAGACCGAATTATCATATATAATCGTTCATCCACTTTCGCCTGTGAATAGTTATCATGTTGCCCGACCGTCTCGATTAGAGACACAGTTACTTTCTGTTAACTCCAATTGTTTATCACCACTTTGAGCGGTTCAGCTGTGAAACTAGCGGCAAACAGTGGCGTTTGAGTCTGACTTGTCCACTGACATGTCTGAAAACGTCCGGATCTCGTGTTAAGAATCTGTGAATAAAAACAAATCACGCAGATCTTCAGAATGCCGCGCATTTCCCTTAACCTCTATAGAAGGATTGGCTTGGACGAACTTACCGCCACGACGCAAACCAGTAATTCGATATAGTCTACCGCCAGTCAGTTTCGGCCACTCGAACAAACTGGTGTTAGCGAACCGACCAGCCAGGATAGCGCTCAGGCACACGACTGGACTAAAATAAGTTGTTTAAGTGTGTCACGCGTTAAAACAAGCAAGTGACAAGCAAAGTCGAGGCAACCAACAGGAAGGCTGAAGCTTCTAAACCAATTGGGTTTCATCATTTTACTACTGTTTCTCATTTATAAATAACTCACGGAAACCTAACATGAATTAGATTGCTTAGTGTCTCGGTCGCTGTCTTTTTTTATCTTCATTTCGGGAAGTAGTACGTTGTCAACAATATCGACTCGAATGATCATTCTTCTCAAGCAAGACTGCTTTGCGTTTACGTAAAGCTAACAGTCGTTTATATCTTTTCACATGATTGCTGTCATGACTTCCCATTTGGAGTTCGATTCCCCCAACTGTCTTCATGGTGTACATATACACTGTCCATCAGTTATGGTGAAATCTGTAAATACGGCCAGTAAACACTTTAAATACCGATGAGCTCTGGAGAATTTTCATGTAATTTTGATATGGAGTCAGTTTTCAAGACCTGAGTATTAATACAAACAGTATGTCAGTCTCTGTCACAGTATAGGAGAATCACAAATAAAGGTACAGTGTATTCTTAGCATACTCATTACTTGTGTTCCTTTTGAGCATGTGGATCACAATAGCCATTCTTCAATTATCGGAACTGTTTTCTAGTTGATGGTCATCCCATTCGGCTTGAAATATTCAATCACATTGAGGGCCTTGTTACGGAAATTAGGTCGGCAACTTCTAATATGAGTCGATGCAATGATTACCAGTCCATCGGTTGTTTATTCAGAGGCCTTACACTGAATTGACTGCTATCTGTTGTTTATCAGATAACAAACTGTTTTCACTTGCGTTGATTTTTTGCTATTTCCTCATGTTCTTCTGGATTTAAACTTGTTGACTAGCTCAAGTTGGTAGTTATATAGTTTCGTTTGCAGGCGGACCGATATTTTCAACAATTATGAGGTCGTAGGAAAATATCCGGCTTAGACATCAGAAGAACGTGTAGCGAACAAGCTTGTTTTCGGTGATTCATCATCAGGCTAAA